GTAGCCAAAAAAACCTAGAAAGCTGTTACAGAATTGAATTTGTGCTACCTGGAGAGTTAAGCTTTTAAATTATTTAATTCTTTAGATAAAATTCCTTAACCATTAAATATGTAGTCTATTTGATATCTTACTAGAGCTATGGAATTGCTATTTCTTAACTATGTTATTGCCCTCCAGAGCTAGGCAGCAGAATGCAAACTACATTTTCAATACTTCACTCTTTCGTTAGGATCTCATATTTAAAATAGCTGAAGGCTCATGGCTTGCAAAATAAATAAAAATCAGACCTCATTTAGTGTTTCAATTTCATTCTTTAATGCTAGAAATTATACAGAGCTCTTTAAAATATGAAAATGAAAGCAGACAGAAAATGCCATTCATAAATAAGAGATTATATGAAATCATGCATATATAAATAATTGCTTTTTCTGACTACCAAGTAACCAGAAAACATGCAGACACAATTGCTTTAATATGTGGCATATTACCTGGGTGGAGCTGGCAGCGACAGAAATGCAGTCAATGAAGCCATGTCTCCGAGTGAAAAATGCCACAATCTGCTGCCACCGGGAAGGCTCAGTCCGTAACTCATCTGTTGAGCCTTTCTTTGCCCACTGCTTCTGTTTGGGGCCTACAGAGCTGTGGCTGGAGCCAGTGTTGCCTCGACTGGCGCGAGAATAGAGGAGTGTGTTATTGCCGAAAATGTAATTCATCTCTGCAGCTCTGCAGGTGGTTGCCAGGCAGTCTTAATTCCCTACCAGCTGCTGAGTGGTGAATGAGCAGGAAAAAAAAAAATGCAGATAGAATTACAGCAGCATCGTTTACAAACCAGGAAAACAAAATTCTTGCTAGCTGGTGCTATTTTTCTTCCAAAGCTTTCCACCTCTTACATTCCCTCTCTACCTATGATTACAATGATGAATATAATCTTGAGCAATTGAAAAAAAAAAAAAAAAAGAAAAAAAAAGCAGCAAGCAAAGGTTTTCCTTATATTTCCTTTTCAGAATGCACAGAATTAAAACCTTGCTTTCTCTTCCTAGCTGCCAACAGATATTTAAGGGAAACTGGGTAGCAGGTACAGTACAACGTTACAAATTCACAGCTATGAGGATGGTGGTGGATGATAACAGCTACTGGGTGGAGAAAGCACAGATCAAAAATAACCAAGTTTCAATCACTGCCTGTAGAAATATCCAATAGCATCTTTTCACTTCCTTGCCTGCATAAATTATGAACCTGAAGCAAACAAAACAGGGAATAGAAAGCAGAACTGCACTTTTCACTGATTCTGTCTTTATGAAAAACATTCCACAGAGCAAAATTGCTTTAACACAATATTCAAAAACACTTAAGAAACAACTATTTGCTGATTTCTTCTTATTTTCCCTGTTCTTTTGTGCATAAAACAACTATAGAGAGTGAACCACAGTGCCATGAAACATGCATTTTGTGTTTTGTAACAGAAGATGCCTACTGAAGTTGTTCTACTGTGGTTTGGGGTTTTTTTAATCCTCAAGAAAATCAGAGGCTTAAGATTAAACACAAGTTCACACTCTGTTGTTCTTATTCTGTAAATAATGTGTCATGTTCATAACACCTACATAATATATACCCAAATTTCTGTGACTACTGTAAGCATATTATGAAAACAATAAATACATATAAATCTTTCTGACTAAATATTACTTCCGAAAAGTAGAAAAATAATTCAAAACCAAAAAATTCTTACTATTCACTAATGACTTTTCAGTAAGATTATTTTGATCTCCCATGTACATGACAAGTACTACTGTTGTAAGTTTTCTCTGCTCTCTTCATAGCAAAAAATAATTCAGAATAATTATCTGAAAGATTATATGGAACTCAAGTTACCTCACAGAACTCACCATTCAAATTTCTATAGCCAACCATTTAAAAAAAATCCTCCAGCTCACATTGGAGGGATTATTTTGGAAATCAGTTAAATGTCAAGCTTTCAATACCAGCTCATCTCTGGAAAGCAGAAAGTGATCAAAACCATTTGTGATATATTTCTACAGTCATGATCATAGCACCAGTGCAAACATTTTAAAAAAAGCAGAGAACTTCCCGTATGATAAACAAAGGCAGAAAAATTCCTTCAGCCACAACTTACAGCCACATAACTCTAAAAATCCACTGATTCATGATGTGCATTTTAGTGGAATTACCAAATTCCCTCACATACTTTTTGGGGTGCAACATAATCTGCTGTTTAACAAATTTTTACTGACAGCTATCCTAGTCTGAGTAACAGTTTTTTTCATGCCGGCTTCTCTTACAAGCAGAAAAAAAAAGTACATTAATTGAGATCTATTGTAGTGAGATCAATGCACCATTTACTTCTACTCACCAGCACAGCTCAATAACACACCACATGCCAATATTCTGAGCACACCTTTCAGACAGACTTTATTAATATTTATAAAATACAATGGCTTATCACTGTAAGTCATATGAAACTGGGTCTGACTTGTGCAGTGTCATTAAAGCTATGAGCATAAGATAGATAATGAAGGTTGAGAAATGCCTGAGACACAGTAGATACAATGACCCTTTCAAATGGAAAAGCTTTTCATAATGGGAATTTTTTCACAGGAAGACTACAGCACTTCCTGAGCCCTACCTTTTTCCAGACACAAAAAACATACCTAGTCTGAAAAATGCTATAAATTTATTACCAGAGAAATTGATTAATCCCTGACTATGATAGAAGGTGTTTGGAACAATGTACAAATGACATGTTTTGAGTTCCAAGTCTTTTCATAAAGAGTCAAGGTGAAAATATTTTTTATCTTTTTCTACATCTAGCCCTGAATGTCAACACTGCTATACACGTTATTAAATATCTTAGAGCATAAGAATTTGTCTAACATTCAAAATAACTTCAAGAATTGATTTTTGTCTCTGTTTCTCCCCATAGGCTCCAAACAAAGTCACATGGAAAAATATTGTGAAAAATTCTGGAAGAAAACACCACAATGCATGGACAAGAAATGTACCAAGTAGGTATTTTTTTATTGTTATATCAATCTATCTGAAGAGAAGAGAGGTTTGTTGCATTTCAAGGTAGTTTTTTTCAAGGATGATTCCTACACAACCAACAATCCACTATGGCATCAATTACAAAGTCATTTTAGAAATCAGCACTTCAGGAAAGCATCACATGGACAAAAAGCTTCCTGAAAGTGAAGCAATGATGATTTAATTTCAATTCAGAGAGAAATCCAGAAAAGTACTTAAGGAAGAGGTTATGCAATCCCGCTGGTGATGCAAGGCAGCAATCTGTGTCACCTACACTCCATATGGATGTAATGATATCGAGCAAGATATGCTGACGCCTAAGCACATACAGTTGCAGTTATTTGTAGAAGGAGTTGGTACTGTGGTGATGAGACCCTGATTTTTACATGTTACAAAGCAACCTGAAGAAAAAGGCAGAGCCTAGCTCTAGAGATGGCACAAAATCAGGATACCACACAAAGGAGTCCAGATTAGAAGAATGGTCACTTGGAGAGTTGAAAGAACAGTGGGAGGTTGTAAAAACAAGGGCTCAAACACCTAAAAGTAGAAATTGGAAAAAGTTCTATTTGCACAGAAAAGGCAATATCCAGAGAAAGGAAAATTGTCAACACAGATGTCGCAACTGGAATTGCATCTGTGAATGATAGCCTCCAGAGTCAGGAGGCTCATCAGGAAACGGCAGGAAGTCCTAAAAGGAGTAGAGAGCTTCCCTGATCCCTTTTTCATATTCTGGCTATTGAACTGATGGGACTAAAATTAAAAGCAAAGCCAACAAAAAGCACCACACACTAAAACAAAACAAAAAATACTATTTACTGTTAGGCAAGAATTGAGAGTTTGCAGATTTGAAAAGATTCCCGCCCCAAAACAAAACAGCACTTAATTAAGATTTCTACATCAGTACACATACCTCTACAGGTTAAGAAATTGACTTCAAGATTCGTTTGCATTTGTAGAGGCTGCAGAGTAATATTATTTGTTCTGTGGCAAATTAGCAAGATACAGTAATCACAGTGGTTACTAAATGCAAAAATCAACATCAAATACTTGGACTAGAATTCCTCTGAATTTGTATCCAAGCAAACTGGTATTATCAGCTTGCTGAGACAAGTCAAAACATGACATACTGCTGTATTTTAATCCCTCACATAAAGGTCTCCTGGGCATAACTTTACGAGCAGTATGCACACCTAAAATTAAAAAGGCACAGCAACAAATACTGTTTGTGAACAGAAATAGCAGTTACATCTCAATTACCCTTTCTAAACAAAAACCAGCAGTCTCCCCGAAGCATTTGAAAAGTGTCTTATATTAGTTTTACTACCATTCGGCTAAACAGAATATTGGCTAAAACAAGTACAGATTCTAAAGGAAAAAAATCTGACTGTCTTAACAGAGCAAATTCAAGAATCACCTAAAATTTAGGGTAGGGACTTATTTTCAATATCAGTTAGGTTTTGCCCAAAGACAGAGGCAAAAGAAACGTTCAGAACTTGGATATTCAAACATAAGACTACACCACTTAAATTCTTCAGGCATGGGAACAAAAACAATACTGAAAATGTAGATACAAACTCATGTTTCTCTCTTACACTTTTCAGAATTCTAGATTTAGCAAACTTCATAAGTCTAAGTCTCATAAACAAGTCTATGCAGCATTCTAAGCCAAAGCCCAGGAGTTCAGGACTCAAATACTGTGGAGGAAAAAAAAAATTGTTAAGCCTTTTTGCTAAGAGATGCTAGAAAGTCTGTTTTAACTTTTAGTTCAGATAAGACTGAAGGATAGTTCTTGACTAAGTGTCATTTACATAATCAATAAAAAGTATATACCTTAATGCTGAAACCAACTTACAAGTAAACATTCCAGCACAATTATTCTATAATGATCTGTTTTAGTATAAATATTTAATATAAAAGATCATTACCTTATTACTCACAATACACCTCAGGCAACCTACCAATCTGGGCAGATTAAACTGCCTGGTCTTCCGCACCCTGCTCATGAATCTCCTGCCCATCTTTTTGGCACGCCAGACTGATAAAAACATCTTGTGTTTAATGCAAGTCTCCTTAGGCTTGCTTCAGTCATCAAAATGAACCCAACTGCACCAAGAGCTCAGGGAAAATCTCTGGTGAAAACAGTGCAACCCCTTTCTAGGACGACTTGATGTTGATTACTGTTTCTTAGGTTGTTCTAATGTTTGGATTAATCCACAGTCCATCTGTTACAGTTTTTCTTTCTTGTCTCTGTTGAAAAGAATTTATTGAGCAGATCCTTATGGAGAATTGGGCAGATTTGGTCAATCAACTGCTTCTCACTATAAAACACAAACTGACACCTTAGTATTTCCACATTCTTCAATTACAGGAGTTTAAAATCAAAAACCTATCAAGAACCTGAGCAATGCATTTTAATTAGAGACTGCATAACATATCCTCTCAAGTGTGACCACTGAAGTACAATACTAGTCTAAAAATAAATATGCCTGAGAGTATCTTCAAGTTTTTCTTTATGATTCCCAGTATTCTATGTATGTTCCTAACACCAGAAGCACTTTGTGCTGAAGATGGCAAAACTTTACAAAGTTCTCAATTTAGAAAAAAGTAACAGATTGCAACCTTCTCACAATCACAACCCAACTTGCAAATTACATGTCATCTTTGATTTCTAAATGGAAAGGTATCTTCATCTTTAGGTTAACCTCACCTACCTGTTCAGACTGGAGCAGGACAAGAAAATCTACTTGGGCAAAGAGGAAATTAAAATTACTTTGACTGTTGGCTAACCTTGAACATGCACGGTTCAAATCACAAAGACCATTAGCCCTCCTGAGAGCAGAAAAACTCTCCCAATTAACAGAGAAGACTTTTAACAGCAGCTTCACAAGCTCTAAAAGACTTCTGGGGAAGCACTGGAGAAAACAGAGGGGATTGGAGAGAAGACACACCAGGAGATAAAAGGAAGGGAATCTATTATTATCAGCACAAGATTTGGGTTCATATGGAAAGGAGATTGTTAGCATTGAAGGAAGGATGTGCAAATATGCACATTTATATAACAGCTATTTCCATATAGCTTAATGGGAAGGAGTTAAATAAAAGTGCTTGTTTGCAGTTGAAGAAACAAGCAATGTATGTTGCAATACATTGGTTGGTATATTCAGAAACTAGAAGACTACCAACAGTTGAAAGATTATTTCAAAGTCAGAGGCTGACTGTAGGTCACTGTGTTTATGGGCTATAAAACAGCTATCACCTGCTAATCTATAGTTCTGAATATAAATTTTAATTTCTGAAATAACCATTCCCTAGTCATTTTCATAATTTCAGAGACTTAGCATTACTGACTGTAGTTTCATTGGTATCTCCTGAGTCAACTCTTTACCAAACAGAGGGGTCAAACTAGTTCATTCTTCATTCCCCAGTAGCTGCCCTCTATCTCTGATCATTCTTGTTGTTCTACTTTGAGTGTCTAAATTTGCCTTCTTAATCAAGATAATGAATGGTGCAGATTCCTGGAGTGATAAGATAATGCACTTTTATTCCCATTTGCTTCGCTGATTATTCGTTGTATTCCATTTGCCTTTTTGACTGTAAATTGAGTACTGAGATGATTATTCCATTAATCTGTTATAACTCTGAGCTCTTATTCCTCTTAGATGATGCAATAAGAACACAAGTTCTCCCGAGATCCTTCTGGTAACCTCCATCCACGATCACCAATCATGTTCCTTACCCTTTACTTTCCTTTAGCTGTTCGTTGGGTTTTGGTGGGGCATTTTTGTTTGCTTTGGTTTAACAACTAAATCCCTTTTTTTTTTTCTTATTTCATGACTTAAGTTTTTCCATAATCTTTTTTGAGTGTGTCTATAGTGTGCATCTAAGAAAACCTAGAAACTTGCATCAACAAGATGATCTTTAAGCACATGCTCTAAGGGATTTGTGCAGCAGAAATTCTCTTTGCAATGCATTCATCACTCTCTCATCTCTCCACATGCTTACTGATTCCGCTCTTTAGAACAGTTTCACTGTGTTTTGCCAGTACAGAAATGAGAGCAAGTTCCAATTTCTCCTCTCCCTTCTGGAAGCTATTTTAAGAACAAGTACCACCTTTCCATATCTCATTCCTGTGTTACCAAAGTCAGTATAAGTGGGTTATTACACAGCACTGCAGCACTAATAGATAAGCAATTTCAAATCAGGGTTAATTCAAAACCATCAAGCTTAAATACCATTAGGTCCTGGAAATACTTTTCCAAAGATGACTAAACATGAAAAAAAGCAGGCATACAGTGAGTGGGCACAAGATACTTATTTCACAGACAGTGCACGTAGTCAGCAGAACTGCTGTGCTAGCATTACAAAGCCTGTCTCGGCAAAGGTTTAGGTACAGCTGACACACTATTAGACATTTTTTTGAAACTATGTGTCCACTTCACAAAGTACAGGATACTGGGCACAAAACCAGAAGCTGCTGCTTCTAAACAAGAGCAGAGGAAAGGCTGAAGGACATACTTCTCACCCTACAGGCACTCACAGCACTAGGTCAAATGAAATGCCCAACTAACCTACTGCCTCTCTCAGCAGTGAACAATGAAGGTGTAGAGTGATCCTCTCCTGCTCAGTACACCATCACAAGCTCCAATAGAGGTTCACAGAGGCAAAGAAGGCAAAGTGTCTTACTGCTCTTATTCTAATAAAAGACTAGTTGCATTCTAATGCAAATTGAGGCTGAATATTTTTTCCCAGATCTGACACTGCAAGGGGTAAAAACAGATAAAACACAGGGGCACTAGCACTGGGCATAGCTACTGCTTCAAAGATATTCCCTGGGTACTTTACCTGGGTAAGAAGATTCCTTTGGCTAGAATTTGGGGGTAAAACTTCAATCTCTTATTCAATGGGGAACACTATTTCACCTCAGTTTGAAGCCTTTCACTGTTCAGAGACAGGAAAATAGTAAGTCATTTGCATTTAATGTCATAATATTATGAAGTCATAGTCTTATTCACTGACATAAGTTTATGTAACTACAAAAGAGTCTTCCAATTGCTTTAATGGATAAACAACATTAATCCACATGCTCCCTTTGGTAAAGGGAAGTGGGGATTTTTACTGCATCACCTGAAGCACATGTGCTGTAGCAGAACACAACAGCCCCAGCCAGAACGACAGCTCTGTGCAGGACATCAACAGGCAGCCAGCAATGGGAAGGCCAATCCCTGCACTGCCTGTCCCCCACACGGGGATGACCATTCCTGGGAACATGTGAGGAGAGGAAAGCAGCCAACTGTGCTGCATGAAATTCAGACAAGAGTCCATGATTATGGAACTACAAGTTACAGACTTCCCCCAGCAACTCAAACATACTTCTCACAATTCCTAGAGTGTTCCACAACTCCACTGATAATTGCACAAAGCTGTTCCAGAGATGCCAAATATTCAACCAGTAGAACGTCTTTACCTCCTTATAGATGTATGATTCTCTCTGTAATAACAAATTTCATGTATAGCACGAAAAAACAACTTTAGGCCCCTTACTACACTAAGGAAGCCAGTACAATGTTCCAACTAAAACATCTCTGTTCAGCTGTCCATATCTGTAATACATGAAAGGAACAAACCAGAAGCAGGCACTTTCCTCACACCCTTTGAAGATTGGTGCTATGGTGAAAATCTCCAGAGATAGATGATTGAAAAAGATTTGATTAAAGGAAGAAGAATGGCAGAAATTTTTCTCAACCAGTAAGTCTAGCTTCCTGTTACCACATGCAGCCATATGATAATGTAATTTATAAACTTATCAACTACTTTGGAAAGTTTTTAAGAACTTGTGCAAATTTCAAATAGGAATTAATGGATATAATTGAAATGCACTTAATATTGCAATATTAAGAATTAATTTCAGGGCAAGATAAAGATTTGTCATGCTAGTCATGGTATATTTTTCCAGTACAAGATATATTTAGCCTACAAATTACTGCACAATCTCTTTAGAGTTTCTGTATTAGCAGTGAAATATAAGCCCCAAATACCAACACACAATACACAAACATGTTACAGAAAAATATGGGAACCATAATCAGGTTCTACACTTAAATACTCAATTGCCATATCACATCATATATACATATGATGAATAATCTGTCATGTCCAGGTTGCTCTAAATAAAGATTGCTGACTTTTTTTCTTCTGTCTTATCATGCAACATGACCCATTATTTTATAGCCTTGTAATAATCTGTTATTCAAAGCTTTTGTCCTTGATAGAAAACTTCAGCTTCCACTCTAAAAGTTTGCTTGGTACCATATCATATCTGTGACCGATTTCGCTTGATTGGAGCTGTGTAATAACGCCATAACATAACAGCTGTGTAATAACACGGTGAAGCCGTCCCTCGGAAGGGGCTGTGATCGCACTGTCCTACAGCGCTAAATTCAATGTCACATCCAAGCAAATCCTGTCCAGCATCGCCATCTCGCGGCCAATGTGCAGAGCAGAGCATTTCAGAGCTCGGGACCTCACGTTGGAAACACGCGTTTCCAGGTGGAGTCTGGAAACCCCACATTGGAGAAATTCCAGTACTCGCTGCCTACCTACCGGAAAATATTCTTCAAAACCTTTGGGACAGAATATTTGTGAAGGACTTGGAATTTGATAATTTTCACTATTTCTTCATGATTCTCTAACATTAAATACCTTTTGAAAAGCTGCTTTACAGCATTAGCGTTCTATTTCACACAGTATTAGAGGAGAGAGGCCAAGTTTACTTCTTTGTTACTTGAGACACAGGAAGCAAACATTTCTTCTTAAACTGACAAAGCTCCACTCTAACAAGACAAAACCTCTGACTCAAACTTTAAATCGGTAAAGCTATTCTCTCTATGCTTACTGCAAACATGCAATATTTGAACCCAATCTAAATCTGAGGTAGCCCATTCCCCTGTCAAGAAGATAAACTACCTTCATTTACTACAGTACTTAACATTTGACAAATAACAATTACATACTTGTCATCTAAAAGTTTGGGATACACATTTATATTTTTGGTCATTGAAATACTCTTTGAAATAGCATCCACCTGTTCAAGCAAGTTATAAAGGCTGTTTTAAGTCCTAGAGTGTTTGAAAGCTTCTCTCAGGAACAAAATGCAAATTAGTCAGAACCAGGCATCTCCCTTTCCTTCTGTTCTTCTATATTATTGCTCCATACTGCAGAGAGCTTGCTATAAGAGAAAGTATTCCTCAAAATCCAATTCTAATGGCCTCTGCAGCATTACTTAAAGAGCAACATATAATCATAAAACCACTGACTTTTTCAAACTACTAACTCTGTACTTGAAATTTTAAGTGCATTTATTATTTATACTTAAAACAAAAAACCAATTCCTCTTATTATTTTATTCATGACATAAACACAACCTTCTCTATTACATTTAGTTCCTTTAAGCAATGAACTGTTGAAGAAAGCCGATTGAGATCTTGTATACCAGCCAAGACCTGGTTCCTTGCATAGTGCACCAAGCCAACCTACCAAATAAATCACACAAAGCACTCTTAAATCAGAGCTGTTGTTGCTAAATTGATCTTCAGCACAAGCTATGCCAAAACTATGAACACCTTGCAGATCATCAGACCAAAAGCAGAGCAGACCAGTTATGCTAATAATACAACAGCAACCTTGAGTTTTTTCTTCAAGAGAGAAGCAAGCCAGCAGTCAATTAGCATAAGAATTTAAAATTACACAAAACACTGGTAAACAACTGAAACCTGGAACACCCTTCCCAGTTTCCAGATGAACAGAGCTTTGAACAATTTAAATTAACCATATATTGCTTTGAAATTAATAGAGACGAGTTACCCGAAAATAATTAGATATATGCTAAAAATGGTAATACAAACTGAGTGATAACACTTCCCTTATGAAGATTCTTCCCTATTGAGTGATGGTTTTCCAGCATTTACCAATGGGAGACAGATAATAGCAATCCTTCTCAGAGACCTAAGACACACAGTATTTTGAAAAGGCCTCAACATAGTTTGTAACTATATTTAATTCTCAATTTTCCTTAATTCTATTTCGAAAATAGTTTTCTTTCTTCCAGACAGTTTTACAGCTCTCCTCTTTGCCTTTTTGATCCCTTTATGCTTTCTAAAGGGCAAGACTAACTGCTCTAGGAATTAGGAAAAGCTTGTGAATAAACAGAGTACACCTTAAGTCCCCAGAGGAAGGTTTTTTTTTTTAATTTATTTCTAATGGTTACACATAAAAAGGTGTTCCATTACTTTCCTAACATCAATAAATTAGGGAATTAGACATGTGAAAGTGTGTTATTGTGTGTCTAGCTTCATAAGCAAGAAAACTTAAGTCTTAGTCATTCCCAAAAATGAAAGTTTTGTCACATGAATATTCTCAGAAGGCTCTTCAGAGGGCAATACTTCCCAATTCTAAAAGGTTATTCATTAGGGCTTAAAGAATTCAGCTCGTCTAGCTCAAAACTATGGAAAAATACTGAGAGTTCATTTTGGAGATATAAGTAAAAAAATTACTGGTTCAATATCATCATATACATTTTAAAACTTTTAGAAAAGCTGGATAACAATTACTAAATGCACTCACACACTACAATTGGTTTTTCTACAGAATCCTTACAAGTTAATGATAAAAAGATGATACATTCAACAAAACTTTTCCTCATAATTGAAAAAATGAAAATATAACTAGGTTCAAAACAATTTTTTTTCTTAAAATATTATAGAATGGGTTGGGTTGGAAGGGGCTTAAAGATAATCCAGATCAAACTCCCTACCATGGGCTTGAAGACCCTGCACTAGACCAGGTTGCTCAAAGCCCCATCCAACCTGGCCTTGAACACTTCCAGGAATGGGGTAGGCAACCTGTGCCAGTGCCTCATCACTCATGGGAAAGAATTTCTTACTAATACCTAATCTAAATCTACCCTCTTTCAGTTTAAAGTCATTCCCCATCTTTTCCTATCACTACATGACCTTGCAAAAATTCCCTCTCCAGCTTTCTTGCAGCCACTTTATGTGCTGGAAGGGGCTCTAAGGTCTCCATAGAGTTTTCTGCACTCCAGGATGAACAGCCCCAACTCTCTCAGCCTTTCTTCACAGGAGAGGTGCTCCAGCCCTCTGATCACCTTTGTGCCCTCCTCTGGGCCTGCTCCAGCAGGTCCATGTCCTTCTTTTGTTGGGGACCCCACTGCGGGTGGGGTCTCAGCAGAGCAGTGCAGAGGGGCAGAATCCCCTCCCTCCCCCCATTGCCCATTCTGCCTTGGATGCAGCTCAGATCACGTTTGGCTTTTAGGCTATGAGTGCACATTGCTGGGTCATGCCCAGCCTCTCATCCAGCATCCCCCCAAGTCCTTCTCCCCAGGG